TATATATTGGTTAAAATTAAATGAAATTTCATAATTCATATTAACAAAACAATTTTCTTGATTATTGATAAAATCATAGTTGTTGAATTAACAATGTTTTGCTAAATTAAAAGTATATATTGGTTAAAATTGAAAAATATTATACTTGACCAGTCTATTTTTAAATTGGAAAATATTTTTTCCCAACAAAAGTGGGATACAATAATAAAATGTATACGCGTTATCAAATGTTATTATTACGCATATCGATTATCGATGTCGACGCGTATCAACTATCGTCATAAAATTTTTTCCGTTTTATGAAATGTTATTTCGCTTTTTATATCGTTTTTGGCTTTTGCATTCATCTGTTACGTGTGTTTAGTGTTTACGGTAGCCACTAGCCTTTAAAACTTTAAAAAGTAAGTGTGAGTGTTCAACTGACAACAAGACTGTCAACTGTGTCCACGTGATTTCTCTGCTCGTTTTTACTTTTTCGTCAACTTTCAACTGTGTCAACCCACGTGTTTTCTCTGCTCGTTTTTCGGTTTATTCTTTAATAAGTGTAAACACAGCTGGTAAGTATAATTTTAGTACTTTATAGTATAAGAAATTGCTAGGTACCTATCCGATACCTTTTACATTTTATTGATGAAAAAAAAACAGTATTTTTTTCTTACACTTCACTATCTATTACTAAAATGATTTGTTTTGTATGCAATGTAAATACACCTACATTGCCTTCACTCATCTCTCATTACAAAATCTTACATTTGCTAGGACCTCATAGCTCTTACACATGTATAGAAAACAATTGTTTGCAATCTTTTCAGACTTTGAGTAGTTTTAAAAAAACATGTCATAGTAAAACATAAATTTGAAAATAATACTGATGAAACGGTTGTTGCTTCTAATGAATTTGCAATTAATAATGATGGTAATACTTTTGATGTAGAAATAGCATATAGTGACGACAATATTATCCCAGACATCCCTAGTATAGTTAATGAATCTGAAATATCTAATAAAAAAATATTTGATATTAATAAGAGTATTGAACAGTTACATTTGTTTGCAGTCCAATTTACCTTATTATTGCACAACAATAATAACTTTTGCAGAAGTGATGTTACAAATATCTAAAATGATATTGAGAAAAAAATAATTAAGCCTATTACATCACTATTAGAAGGTATAATTGAAAGTGAAATTACTGACCATTGAATTTTATCAAAATTTTCAAAAATTACTTCAGCAATTTCGGATCCTTTCAAACCGTGTAAAACAGAATATTTATTAAACAAGTATTTGACCACTAATGATCTTTTAACTGATGCATGTAAACAATTTACAATAAACAATGAAGTAAATTTAGTATCCCACAACGGTCAAACAGTATTTGATGAAATAAGTACAAAAGCAATTCTAATGCCACTCAAATTCCAAATTAAAAAATATTTTGAACTAAACAATAATCTTAATTTGGCTATAAAACGTTATAATTATTTAATAAATTGTCCAGTTTCAGATGATAATTGTTCAATCACAAATTTTATTCAAGGGTCTTTGTAGAAAAAAAAATTAATCCCACACCAAAATAAAATAGTAATGCCTTTTTTTATGTATATTGACGATTTCGAAATAAATAACCCATTAGGATCTAAGTCAACTTGTCATGCTATTTCTGCAGTGTATTATAGTTTCCCTTTAAGTGAAAATAGTTCAAAACTTACAAATATTTTTTTAGCATCTCTTATCAAATCTAAAGATTTAAAATCATACGGAAACGATTTATGTTTTAAACAGTTAGTTGATGAATTTAATTCATTAGAAAAAGATGGGATTATAATCCACACACCTGATGGTTGTAAAAAAGTACATTTTATTCTTGGTTTGATAATTGGAGACAATTTAGGACTTAACAGCATTTGTGATTTCAGTTAATCATTTTCTTCCAACTATTTTCGTAGATTTTGCAAAGCCCATAAAACATTGACACATATGTTAGGTGAAGAAGATGAAACATTACTACGTAATGTTGATAATTATGTACAAGATATAGAAACAAACAATTTGTCATTAACTGGGATTAGTCAAAATAGTATTTTGAATAATATAAATTCCTTTCATGTAACAACTAATTTTTGTGTTGATGTAATGCACGACATTCAATTTAAATAGTTTAATAGCTCGACTTGAGGCCATTGAACTTAACCGCTCCACTCCAGATGAAGACTCATTCTCGGACTTCGTTGACCGCCAAGCCCGCTCTAAAAATGTAATTTTGTTTAATGTTCCTGACGCGCCCGATGATTCCAATAACTCGGACTCCTCAACAGTCGATCTTATTTTTACTAAACTCGCTTTGGACATTAAACCGATCACAATTCAGAGACTCGGAAAATTTGACGGTAAGATTCGCCCTTTGAAAATTTCACTAGCTTCCGCCTCTGATGTTTTAAAGACCTTGGGTTCTTCGAGAAAACTTAAATCTGATCAAATTTTCAATGCGGTTAGAATAACAAGTGACAAGACTCCCAAACAACGTTTGTATTTTCAAAATCTGCGTAAAGAATTAGATATGAGACGTTCGGATGGTGAGTCAAATCTAACAATAAAATACGTCAAGGGCATTCCATCTATTGTTAATTCCGCGGTCCAAAAAAACTAATAAGTTTTACCGAATTCCAACTTTATTATCAAAATGTTAGAAGTCTAGTGTCAAAATTAAATACTCTTACTCCACTTTTATGTACTTCCGGTCTGGATATCATCGCTTTCACGGAAACCTGGCTCTATCCATCTATATCTACGTCTGAACTCAACTTCTCTAATTACACAGTTTTTCGTTGTGATAGATCTTCACTCAACAGCTCAAGTGGTCGTGGTGGTGGTGTATTAATTGCAGTTAAATCAACCTTAATTTGTAAAGTCTTAAATGTTTCTGTTAAAAGTGCTGAACATATATTTGTGTTAATTAATTTAGGTCCTAATATTTTGATTCTAGGTTATATTCCTCCTCTCTCTCCTACAACACTTTATGAACAATTTTTTAAAGCAGTCAATGAACTTTTTATTTCAAACCCGAAAGCTAAATTTGTCTTGTTAGGTGATTTTAATCTCCCCTCTTTAAATTGGTCACTTTATTCGTTGCCAATAATATGTAATTCTCCAATTGATTCTTATTTTATTAGTATGTTATCACAGTTTAATTTTAATCAATTTAATTTATTACGTAATAACAATAACGTTACTCTAGATTTAGTCTTATCTAATATCCACCTATCCGTCTCTAATGAACCTGACCCATTGTTGCCTATTGATAAACACCACCCAGCACTTAATATCACGTTGAAATATGAACAATTTAATATCTTATCGACTACTTATGATATAATTTACGATTTTAAAAATTGTGATTATGTCAAAATCGTTAAATACATTGGCGACTCACTTAATATCATTAACTCTATCTCCTCAAATGTTAACGGCGTAGTTGATCGTCTCTATATGATCTTGCATGATTCTATAAATATTTTTGTTCCTAAAAGACGTATATATAATAATACTTACCCAATTTGGTATTCAAATTCTTTGAAATCGCTATTAAAAGAGAAAAAAATCTGTCACCTTGTCTATAAACAATACAATAATATCTCTGACTATATTACTTTTTCACATTTAAGAGCTAAATGTAAAAGGCTCGCTAAGTCTGATTATAAAAATTATATAAATAATAATCAACACTCTATAAAAAATAACCCAAAATATTTTTGGTCTTTTATTAAAAATGTTACCAATAATAATGCACTTCCTAAATTTTTATCTTTAGATACAACGATAGTTAATAATGGTACTGATATTGTTAATATTTTTGCGAAATATTTTTCAGATTCCTATTCTAATATTCAACAGCCACCTAATTCTTCTTCTCTAAATATTAATAAAATTAATTTAAATTCCGATATAAATCTAAATTCTATCTCCTTCACTGAATTAGATGTACTTAACTTAATCTCTATTATCAAACTTAACTCTAATGTAGGCCCAGATGGTATACCCTCTATATTCCTCTATAACTGTAGATTTATCTCAACTCCAATATTAACAAATATCTTTAAGTTATCTCTCAAAAAAGGTTTATTCCCTTCTATTTGGAAAACTTCTTTTATTTCTCCAATTTTAAAAAAAGGCGACTCTTCATTAATTTCGAACTATCGTCCTATCTCTAAGTTATCTATTATCCCGAAATTATTTTCGCAGTTAGTCTCCTCAAAATTATCAAGCTACTGTTCTTCCTTACTATCAAATCATCAATATGGATTTACTCCCAAGCGATCTTCCTGTAATAATTTAGCTGTGGTAAAAAACATAATCCTTAATTCTTTTGAATTAAATGCGCAAACTGATATTATTTATACCGATTTTTCTAAGGCATTTGACCAGGTAAATCATGCTATTCTTATTAAAAAATTACAAATATTTGGTTTTTCAGGTTCTCTACTAAATTGGTTTCAATCATTCCTATCAGGTCGGCACCAAATCGTTAAATATCTAGGTCCTAATGTCATAACTAATTCTAATATCCTTCTATTTGCCGATGATGCAAAATTAGTAAAAATTATTAAATCAGAAGAAGACGCTTTTAATTTGCAATTAGACATTAATAACCTCATTTTATGACGAGGGGTTGTGTGTTCGAAAATGATATGTTCTAATGAAATATGTTCGAATGAAAAATGTTCGAAAAAGCATATGTTCGGATGAATATTTGTTCGAATGAATTTTAGTTCGAATAATATTAATAATAATTAATAATATGAATAATGTATATATTATTAAATATATTAACATATATTAAATTATTAATTTCTTTATAAATCTCTTTTCTTATTAAATCTATAGGTATATCGTCAAGTAAAATAAACATTTAAAAAACTAATAATTAATGTATAAATTATTTAAATTATTATATAATATTATTTAAAAAAAATGTTTGTATAAATGTATATATATTAAAGTTAAAAGTTTAAATTGTACGCAATGCCTCTTAAAAACTCAATGTTATTTTGATTACTATTTTTAAATCTTAAAACTAAATTTTTAATTCTATCTTCATGTTGTTGTCGGGATACCTTTATTTTTTTTGCAATTCTGCCTTGAATAAATTGTTCAATTAAGCTTTCGTTCTCGTTCTGCATTTTTTGAAGAAGTGTTATGAATTTATAAGCACCTGGATGTTTCGATATCAACCTAGTATAATATTATATTAAAAAATATAAAATATATAAATTTTACCAATTTTAAAATTACCTATTTAAACGACTATGCCAAGATTCAGTGATATTAGTAGTGCGTGGCAATTCATATTCAACTCATTGAGCTACTGACCATATTTCTGGTGGATATAACGGGGGTTTTACTTGTGGATTTCGCCCGCGGAGTCTCACTGATTTACCAATAACATATGTTGTTTCGAAGTAATCTATTAATTTTTGTTCCCTTTCATCATTCGAAAATTCAGTTTTAAGCAGTTTCCAACTTTCATTGACCTATATAAATAAAATATATATTTATTAGGAAAATATGCGAAAATGTGTTGATATTAACAATAATGCTGGGTATTAAAATTCGTGTTTTATACGTACTTTGGAAACCGGAAGGAAAGCCAATGCTGGTAAATGTCGACAAAGTAAGTTGAAGTTTTGATCTTCCATATACTTGGTCGTTAATCCTTCCTTTTGTATGTGACGATAAATATTTTGCGAAAAGTGAAAAAAAACACGTAGAATGCATTGCAAATGGAAAAATATCATTGATGGCATTAATAGCAGCAATTTCAAAATCAGTAATAATTTCAAGATCCGTATTATCTTTAAAATTAATACGATGTTCAATAGCAAAATAATTAAGTGCTGTAAACATTAGTTTATACGAATTTTCAGTTTGATTTGTCATAAGGGCAAATACTAATGGTAAACATATCTGGTCGTTTCCTCTCTTAATAGATCCATGAATTGTGTACAATTGCTTAAAGAAACTAGGACAAGACTTATATGTTCCATCTGCAAGCCAAAACTCTGATTCTCTTAAATACAAACAATTTTGAAATGTTGTAAAAATAATAATTCTATTGTTGTCATCGTAAATGTCCTTGATTAAAAATTCTTGACCAGAAATTGTTTTTTTTAATTCAATAGGAGGGTTAAAATGTTCAACACAAGATGGTTCAATTAATTTACCTTTTCTCTGTCTTTTAATAAGTTGTTTTGATGCATTTTTGCAAATTTGTGAAGAGACGACAGAAGGAACTCCAATTATTTGCTCCTGGTAAATTTTGTGTGGATTATCTTGAGATTGCAATGCAGCAGTTTTGATTTTATTTTTAATTATTTTACATTCATTTTGTATAGGATTTGGTGCATGTGAATGATCCATTAATGTACACGATTCATCTTTAATATGTTCATTGTTTTTAATAATTGTTCGAAATGTAGCACCACACTTTTTGACACAGATCCAATAGTACACATTTTCTTTATCTCGTTTACGAAAATTATTTTTATTAAACATAAATTCATATTCATTAACTAATAACATATTTTTCTTATGTATAGTAGGTATTAATTTTATAGTACACGTCGACATATTCGTTCGCTATTTCGTTCGGTCTGACAATCGGAAATATACTGCAGCAGTTGGTAAATTAAAGTCGATACCTATGTTACAGAAACCCATATTATGATAACGCTAACGATAACATAACGAGTAGATACAATTTATTGCTCTATATTAGATTATAAGATACTATATTATATTAATGTTGAATACACGTCTAACCGTCTTTCCCTGGTTAACGGTACAATAGTCGGAATATACGGCTATTAATATACTATAGATAATAATATTTACAAAGTTTTCGAACTAAAATTCATTCGAACAAAAATTCATCCGAACATATGCTTTTTCGAACATTTTTCATTCGAACATATTTTATTCGAACATATCATTTTCGAACACATAACCCGACACCTCATTTTATGGTGTAATGAGAATAATCTATTTTTAAATATACAAAAATGTAAATTTATGAAATTTTACATAACTAATAATCCCGTTAACTCTCAGTACTCAATTTCTGGCACAAATGTCGAGCTTGTTAATCAATTTAAAGATTTGGGTATAATTTTTGATCGTAAATTAAATTTTTCTCTGCATACTGAAATGATTAAAAATAAAGCTTTTCGTAACTTAGGGTTTATTAAGCGTACTTGTGCTGGATTTTCAGATCCTATTCCCCTAAAAATCCTCTACTTCTCTCTTGTCCGTTCTAATTTAGAGTACTGCCCTCTCATCTGGATAAATAGTACGTCGAAACAGGCTCTTACGCTGGAATCTCTCCAAAATAATTTTTTACGTTTTATCTCTTTTAAATTTAACATAAACAGACCTGTCCACGGCTCATATAATAATGTTTTAAATTTTCTTAATATTTCTCTACTGTCTGACCGTCGTACACTTTTACTCTCTAAATTTTTACAAAAACTAATTTTAGGTTCAATAGATTGTCCTGAAATTCTCTCTTTAATCCGTTTTAAAATTAATTACCTTAATACTAGAGATCCAAAACCCTTTTATCCACTTTTTTCAACAAAAAATTATATCTTGAACTCTCCTGCTAACCTTCTTATGACTGCAGGTAATACTTTTGTCTTTGATTATATTTAAATAATAATTTTTATATTTGATTTGTATTCTATTTCTAATTTAGCACTATTATTTTATTCTTTCTCTAATTTTAAGTAGAAACTATTAATTATTGTTTTACGTATTAATGTGTTTTTTCACTCACAATGTAATATTATTATGTTTTAGGACTCACGTCCGTTTATATTAAATAAATAAAATAAAATAAAAATAAAATAAATATTTGAAGGTGTGTGCCATTATAACATGTGTCACATTATCACTTATTATACAGAAACAGTAAAAATATTGTCTCTAGAAACTTTGAACTCAAAGAAACAACATTTTAGCTATGGTGAATTAGAGCAAAAAAACTTATCACCCCCCATTGAGAAACATAATTTATCTACATTTCACTTAAAAATGTCTGCAAGACAAATGATGAGCTTCGTACACTTCTTTCCATTAATAATAGGTGATTTAATACCTGTGGATGATGATGTTTGGATTTTTTTTTTAAATTTTCTGGAAATAATTGAAATTGTACTAAGTCATGAGTTGTCACAGCAAAGTTCTGTTTCACGTTTAAAGTACTTGATTAACAAACACAATTCAAATTATGTCCTATTTTTTAATGATAATTTAAAACCCAAACATCACATCTTAACCCATTATCCATCAATAATACTTAAATCTGGACCACCCAGACATTTTTGGTGTTTTAGGTATGAGGCTAAGCACAAAGAACTTAAAATGTATGCTAGGGCAATTACTTCTAGAAAAAATATTTGCTTAAAATTAGCTATAAAATATCAATTGAAATTTGCACACTTTTTGCTTAACCAAGACACTCTCAAAGATTTTTCCATTTTTATTAAACATAAAATTGATTCAGATCTTGAATTTCTTTCAAATAATTTGAACATGCCATCTAGCAATTTTGTTAGTTATTCTAAAATTGATTTTAAGGGCACAGTTTATAAAATAGGAAATTATGTTAGTAGTTATAAATATGATGTTTGTTTGTATAAAATACTTGAAATTATTATAATGAATGATAGTGCTATATCTTTTATTGTTCATCAAATTCAATTAGAATCTTATAGCACTCATATGAGATCATATGAAGTCAACAAACATAAAAACATAATTTTAAAGAGCATTATTGTTGTTGAAGAGATAAGTGGTCCTCCAATAAATATTAATCAAGTCTCCAATAGAAGACTCATGATTAGACTAAAAGAGTATTTTTAAAGAAACCTTTTATTTTATGTTTACTTCATAAAGTAAAATAAAACAAATCTTTAGATGTATATAATTAGCCAGTTCATATAATTAAGTTTTTTATTTTATGTGTAGTTACAAAGTTGTATAATTTTTAGTCATATTTGATCTGCATAATTTTTTTATTACAACACGTTTGTTATTATTTATATTTTATTTAATTTTATCCCTATGTCTATGTAACCCATATTAACCCATATTCATACATAATATGTATTATAGTAATTGTTTAAGATTGAAAATGAATATTGACGATGGTTTGTTTGTTGCTTGCAACTCATTGTCTGATTTCAGTGATCAGTTTATTGTTGATGATAGTAGCTTGAGCAATGATTTGTTAGAACTACAACCTCTAGCCACTTCTAATAATCCAACACCATTGTCAGAAGATGACAAAACTAGTATCAGAAATTTGCTTGATGGTTGGAACATGGGGTATTTATTTCAAACTTGTCTCAGTGAGTTTAAATGCATTACATCTATAGCCGCAATCATATGCAGTGATTAAATAAATAAAATGTATGAAAATTGATTGATTGTATATTATTTTTTATTTTTTGAGCTACATATCTAAATTTAAATATTTATTTATGTTTTTTTTTCTTAGAACGAAATCATCTATACCTTCAACTAAAATATAAAATATGTTATTTAAATACAAATTTTTAATTACATTTTTTCAATTTTTTTTTAAGATTAATATATGGACGAAGAAGCTTTTCGGTATATAAATAGTAGGCAAATTGAAAAGCTACTGCAGAAGTATCCCCTTGGTGTTCATATAAAATTTGAGCATTACGTAATGTTGAAATATACAATTAATATGTAGTACATGTAGTCAGCCTTGACACGTGTGTACAATATAGTAACTAGTTATGTACGAGCATAAGACACTCTCTTTACGGATGTAACATGACCTCGGTCGTGCATATATATAGGGCCTTTGATGTATGTAATATTCACTTGCACAGGCGTCGTTGTACAGAGCGTATACGATGTGTGTGTACTGTCACAGTTCTATTGTCCAGTTGTACGTTATTATATATTATACTTATACATAATCATATTGTCGTGTTATTACTTATTATATTAATGCTAACATCATTAGTCCGTCAAGCTTCACTTTCAACAGGTTATGGGCCCAGTCAATAACCAAGACATACAGTCAAGTGGATTCGTGATCGAAGTATTTTTATATTTGTATTAACGCAGAAAACTACAACCAGTCGGAGATATCCTGGATTTCGGAAAACGGCGGAACAGTGTACATAGGTAAAGTTTTGTTATAAATTGTTATACAGGAAAGTATACGGGAAACCATCGGTCATGGAAGACACGGTGAAGATAACAAAATTATGTGCGGAAAACTGGTCGTTATGGAAGTTCCAGATGAAGGTCATTCTAAATGCCTTGGAAGTAGGTGAGATAGTTTCAGGTGAATGGACGAAACCAAGTCTACCTATAAAAAAGTCGGCAACAGCGTCCGACGAGGATGCCAAAGCACGTTGGCAAAGGCATACAAACGCTTGGCAAAAAACGGATGGTAAATGTCAGAAAATAATAGTTGCCTCAGTGGACGATGGTCCATTACAATATTTGATTAACTGTGAGACTGCATTGGAAATGTGGGAGAAACTGCTGAGTATTTACGAGCAGAAGTCTGAGGCAAGTTTACATTTGCTTCAACAACAATTTTTCAGTTATTCAAAGGAGTCAACAGATGACATGTCGACGCATATTTCTAAATTGGTCAATTTAGGAAGGAAACTGAGAGTAGCGGGTGAACCAGTTACGGATAACATGGTTATGAAAATAGTTGATTGTTAATTTAAAGTGACGCCGATGAAGTTTTTAAAATCTAATTTGTTGTAATGTATATGTTGTATCTAATTAAATCATATTTTAATTTATAAATATATTTTTAAGATTGATATTGATTTCAAACGGTTCCATGAGAAGTATTCTGACTTATTAAGTACTTATGAAAAATCATATGTTAAACTGGTACAAATAATAGATGATCGTATAAAGGACCCTAGCTGTCGAAAAATGTTGGAAAGCATGATGAATATGAATAATGCAATAGAAAGTAAGTTTGGACCTTAATGTTATAACGAGCTTTGTTATATTTTACACACTTTTTTTTTCAAATATAAATAACCACTATAATATGTGTTAAATTGTTATGTTTATGTATATTTTGGCACATTTAGTTTAAAGTAAATAATAAACTATGATAATTATTGCATCTTAGAAATTATAATTTTCTATTTTCTTAATTTGTTTTAATAACAACCTTTATATGTAAACATATGTTTCCATCATTATACAATCATAAACACAATATTTTTATTAACATTTTAATTTATATAAAACAAATATTAAAATTTATTATGAATTTACATTTAATGTTTAGAAATTTAGAATAGTAGAATGGTATGCATGATAAAATTAACTAAGCCATCTCATATTACATCATCTTCTACTTGAACTTTAAATGCTTGAACAGTACTATTCTAATACCTATATAATTATTAACTATTGGTAAAATATTTATTCTTCATTAATCACTATATTATTTCCTGAACATTTTTTTGAATTTTCCTTTGAATGTAAATAAGCACATTTTAGACTTTAGTTTTTTTTTTTCAGATTATAAAAATGCTGTGGTGTTGTACGTTCTTCACGCTCTTTTTGTACCATCTACAAGAAAAACCTACACTGATTAAAATGGAAGAAAATATTACCATACATTTTCAATTAAAGATTCTCAGAACACTTTTATGATAGTTTCTAATACAGCAATTGAAATTGAGGAAATATTGAAAATAAGAAAAAATGCCAAGAATCCTATCCAACCGTGCTTGTTGATTGTGGGTACAATATCAAATCCACCACAAATCATGGTTTATTTTGATGAATCAAAATATGTATTTTTTTCAATTATTAAAGCCTTGGATATGTGTTTCAAAATTTACCAACTGTTTAATATAGAATATCCATTAGAGTCTATATCTGTGTGGATGTTTATTCAACGTTTTTTTTATAATATTAAACTACCATGTGATAAACCATGTCTATTGATAAAACAAATTATATCTGAAATGAAATAATTATATTTGTATTAACAGAAATTAACTAATAAACATATTCATTTTTATTCAAAAAATTAATGAAAAAATTTTTATTCTTGATTTATACTCATCACCTTCGTATTATGAGCTCAGTGCCCATTTGTTGGAACAGAATGTCCTCATGCTCTATAGTTGGTTTAATGGTAAACATGTGCAGATAAACAGTAATGGTTGCCATTTAAAGTTTGAATGGAAATAAAGAAACAATATACTTTGAAGTATTAAAGTTTACTATTTGCATGTTTTTTATCCATGGACCATGATATATAAAAATTACTATTACTACCCAGAAACAACTACTACAAGAATTTATTAGGGGAGGGTCTGGAACTTTCAAAAACATGACAAAATCTATATTAATATTTTTTTTATGTCGGTGATTGGTATATTTTTTAAAAAACCTTAAATATGTGTATATTATGTATATTTTTATTTATATAATATAATATAATATTTACCTATATTGAATGTTATATTATAAAATACAAATTGGGCTTTTTGAGAGTTTAGCATCTGCTTAATTAAGTTTATATTAACAATTAAACTTCTTTAAAAAAAACATGCTTTACTTTTGAATTAATAATGAAAGTATTTACAATTTAAATGGTAGTAATATCAATTTTACAAAATATAAACTGTTAACTTTATAAAATGATTTGTTAATTTCACCAAACAAAATGTCCGTTGACTGAAAATTTGACAGGCTAATATTGTTTAATTAAACAAGATTTTAAACAAAATAACAATGCTGCTTGTAAATCTGGAGTTGAACAATATTACAATTTTGTTATTAACAATGCGGTTTGTTGGCCCTATGTTAACCATGCTTTTGTTGCTTTAACTGTTATTTTTGTAAATCGTAATAAGGTTTTTCGTTTCTGTGTATATACAATATATCTAAATATATTGATTTTACTCGTTTAGTTTAGAAGTATTTAAAGTTAGCGTGCGTGTGTTTTATTCCGTTAAAAAAAAAATCGTTGTTTCTTTATTGTATGAAAATGGTTTTGCAAAATATTTTATTGCTATCAAATCGCTCAGCTTTAAACTTAAAAGAAGCTATTAAATTACTTAAAAAACCAAATTTAAACAGTGATAACCTAGTACAGTGTTATAACTTGGAACCAACACCAGGCTTGTGGTATATGTGTGCGTACAATCAAAGTTCTACTGACGGCATTGAATGGAAATCAACAGGCACTCGTTCAATGCCTAATGAAAAAAATCCCACCGTACTGGTCGAATACTTTTCATCCGAAAAAGTGAATAAAAGTGTATCTGTTTCTATTGTTTCTAATGAACTAATTGAACATGAACCCGAAGAAAAACATGTCAGGTAGGTACAACAAACATTATGAATTGTTTTTCTTAAAATTGTATTGTGCCTAAATTGATATTTTTTTTTCAAGCAACAATTTTGGATCATATTTAGGATATGATGGTTCCCTTTCAGGAGGTTCTTTGTTCAGCCTACAGCCCAAATAGTACAATCTGCTCCGTGTGCTCCGACTTTATCAAAATTCAAGTAAGTACCTACGTCCTTCTGATTTTACGCACTTCTAATATCAACATTGTGTCATCGCACATTTACTTATAGCGTCGAATTTAAAGTTTTTAAACACCGTGGTTCGACATATATTACGTTACTTAACTTCTTTTTGATCTTTAAGATTTAAAACACTGATTTTTTTAGAATTGAAAATAATGGAAAAAAATATGTAAGGGAGTAAGCATAAAAAATAAAAATGTTGTTTTTATAATTATTAGATAGGCGTAGTAGGAATGTAGGATAACACAAATTTTCTAATGTTTCTATAGCCAACCCGTCGCAGCTTCGCCCATGATTGGTTTGTATTCAAATAACAGACTGACTACCGATATACATTTTAAAATAAATACAATATAATATCGTATTTTAGTTGTAGCCAATATAGTTTTATATTTTCGTTATAGTGACTATACTGTCTATATTATAATAAAAATGTATACCGATTTTTTTTTTTAGGGATTTAAATATTTCACCAATTATTGACTCTAAATACATACAATCACCAAACAAAGAGTTTATTCCTAAGAAAAAGTAAGTGTCTAGGTACTACCTATTACCTATTATCTTGTAGGCTAGTTAATATATTTTCATTTTCCTAAATTATAGTGCAAATGTTATGATTGAACACGTGATTACGCCTATAATGTCATCGTCGAAAGTAACTGAATGGTCAAATGAAGTTTAGTGAGTTTTTGTATATTTTTTTTCATAACTTAGTTGACAATATATATTTTAATTTTTAACTCTTATTATTATTATTATTATTTATAATATATACTTTATAGTGATTCCAATGCGTCTGAACATAGTTTGAGTATTCAGACAATAGATGATAGCTTATCATCAATTAACACAAATAAATCAAATACTCAGTAAGTACCATATCTGTAAGGTTAAATCAAAACTTGCATTTGAAAATGTTATTGTGTATAGAATATAATAATATATTTTAAAAGTTTCAATAACCCGCAAATAATATTTTTAAAGTACAACAAATTAACCAAAGTTATTATATCTTTACTTCAACTAATTTCGTCCAAATTTGAACTTAAAAAATCTATTTAAAAAAAAAAACGTGTCTATATGTCTTTTATATTTTTGAACTCCAATTATAACAACTTAAGAGGAACATAGTTTTAAATTTTTAATTCTTAGCTATAAAAATTGAATATTTTATATATTTTTAACTACAAAATAATTTGTAAATATTTTATTTGATAAATGTTGTCAACATTTGAACTCTATACGCTTATAAAAAAATCGTGGCTGTAAATAGCTATAAAAACGAATAAAAATATTTTGAACGTTTTATCATGTTTAGAAAATGATAAATAAACATAATTAAAATTATCTATGGTTGTTCATTTTTGAATAACAAAAAATTAAAAATCGTATGCCAATTTGTTAATTGACGTGTAAATATCCAATGTCCAACTTCGAACGCTCGTAAAAAATTAATTTGACTTTTATTACCATAATTTGAATACAATAAATGCATTAAAAATGTCTATTATTTTAGAATGTTAACTGGTCGGAGAATCGTCAACATGTCTCATATAATAGAACAAATTAAAAAACGGCATAGTGGTCCTTATGGTTGTTCGTTTATTGACACGGAACATGAATCAGAAGTGAACTATGGATTTATATCAGTTTTTACTTTTAAGTGTACAATGTGTAATATTAAAACTAGACTACATTCGGAATATATTCATAATTCAGAAATGAATATTAATAATGCTGCGGTAAATGCTTGCCAAGCTATAGGTATTGGACATACACAGTTAGCAGAACTATCAGGATTTCTTGATTTGCCTGCATTGTCGAGTACTGGTTTTTTGCGTGTTCAAACCGAGGTAGCTGAAATAATTCACGCTACAGCTTGGGACGAAATGAAGAAAGCCGGTGAAGAAGAAAGGAGATTGGCAATAGAATCTGGTAGCTTGGATGTGGATGGGATACCAATTATTACAGTGGTCGCGGACGGGCAATGGTCCAAGCGAAGCTATAAAACCAAGTACGATGCACTATCAGGCGCGGTACGTACTTATTAATTTATTATCTAAGTACATTTATATTAAAAAATATTTTGAGTTCATCCAATGTACCTATTTAGTATTTAGTATTTATACTATAGTATATATATATTTATTTTATTAATTTATTTAATCAATTTATTTATTATATATTTGTTTACAGGCATCAATAATTGGTTATAGAACCCAAAAAGTTTTATTTGTCGGGATTCGAAATAAATATTGCATAATTTGTCAAAGGTCTTCAAGTATGAAGGATAAAGAAAAACCTGTACATACATGTTTCCTCAACTGGAAAAAGGCTTCAACTTGCATGGAAGCAGATGGTGTGCTACAAGGATTTTCCAACAGCGTTGAAATGCATGGTCTTAAATACAATTGTTTAATTGGTAAATTATGAGCTAAATTGAATTCAAAGATATTATCATTGTATACGAATAATAATTCTGAGCGGAGACGGTTTCTCCAAATTTCGTCGAATTTGAAAAAAAATATTGTCTATAAAAAAATTGTGTTTATTATATTAATAATAATAATGATAATAATTACAATAATAAATAATGGTTTGATATTAAGGTGATGGAGATAGTAGCGTTACTAAGCGGTTAGCCGAAAGTCGACCATATGGCTTTAACTTTACAATAAGAAAAATTGAGTGTAAAAACCATCTTATGAGAAATTATGCTTCGAAACTAACAACACTAGCTAGAAATTCGAGTTACCCTCTTCGTGTTCGCAAATTTATATTATCAAAGATTAAGAGATTTAGATGTGATGTTCAGATGGCAGCATTACATTGGAGAAAAGAAATCAATACTACCAAAACACAAAAAATTAAAGGTAACTATTTATATATTTGGAATTTGGTTGGAGTAGGATAATAATTTATTTTAAAATGTGTATGTTGTTATATCATATAGTGTATAATATTTTGTACTATTGTTGGCCAATTTATTTATTGCATAAAAAGGCTAAAATATATATAATTTTAGGTCTCAGAAGTGATTTAATCAATGCACCATATCACAGAATTGGTTATCATTCAAATTGTAGGTCATATTTTTGTGATTGATCAAAACAAATTCAATTAAATTTAGTCCCAGAAGCTGAAACTAGTGGAATGATGAGGGAAATAGTGAACATTGCTTCAAGGCTTGTAACTAACGCGGAAAGTTTATTAGAAAATAAGACTTCTAATATCTGTGAACAGTTTAATTCTGTTATTAATAAACACATTGCCGGAAAACGATTGAATTTTAGTAGTAGAGGTAATTATAATACGAGAGTAGAAGCTGCGATTGTGTCATTTAATTCCAAACAATATTTAAGACAAATTCATAAAACATTAACTAAATGTAGTCCAGGTAAAATGCATATTTACGTTTAATAAAATAGTAACTTTAATATAGGTTAGCTACACAATTGTTTTATTACAGGAATATTTGGAAAAAAGTTTTTGAAGAACAGTCAAAGAATACGGCTTAATACCAGTAAAAGAAGGCAATTATTTCCGGAAAAAAGAAAAGCTAAAAAATCTAAAACGGATGGAGAAGACGAAGATTATGGACTGGCTGAACCTCTAATAGAATTTTTTTCATCAGAAGAAATGGAAAACAAAAAAATTACATTTTTAGAAGAATTAGGTCGAGCTGATGTAAAAAAAATCGAATTTGAAACTCGAGAACAAAGCAACAGTGAAATGTGGTACAACGAACGTAAAATACGACTAACAGCTTCAAGATTTGGTCAAATTTGTAAAATGCGGTCAAACACTAGCTGCAAAAATGTAGTTCATAATATTTTATATGCTTCTGACAGTCTACAAACAAAATCGGTACAGTATGGTAGAGAAATGGAGACTTTAGCTCGTCAAAAATTTGAACAATTGTCGAAAGAAAAAGTTTATGAGAATGGTTTGATTATAGATCCAGAATTTCCATTTCTAGCTGCCAGCCCAGGTAACAGAACATTATTATTATATTACTACCAAAATATTAGTTGGATGAATTATAATTTATATTTTAAAAATAATAAATATTAAATCACAAGTTAAAAATATATATAATATATATATTATATAAATTAAAAGTCTAAAAATATAATAAGTATATAAATCTGAATAATTACCCCCAATATAGGGAGACTGCTGATACATTTTTTGTAATATTCAACTTATTTTATAGATGGTGAACATTATTTATTGGAAATAAAATGTCCATATTCTGCTCGTGATTCAATCGATGCCATTGAAGCAGTGAACAGTAAACTTGTGAGTGTTAAATTATACTTAATAATTATAATTTTAGTGGTATATACCAACAAAATATTGCCGGTAAAATATCTTGACCAAAATATTATGTTATAATTAAATTGCTACTATATTTTTATAGTAGCTGACGATATTTTTCTCATGCGACATGCAATATAGTGGTTTCGCGATTATATTTCTATTGCGATATTTTGTCGATAATTACTTAGTAGGTACATTTGTATTTAGTTGTATAAGATGATAGGTTAAATATTGTTAGATTTGAAGATTTTTAGCCTTCGTGGCTTCGTAACAGTATGTTGTGTGAAGTGTGAATGTAATTTTGATTTTGATTTTATTTTTAGCTACAATATTGCAAAGTTGAAGGGCAAGAAATTAAATTGAAAAAAGAACACGTATATTACTACCAAATAATGGGACAATTACACGCTACTAAAAGAAAAAAATGCTTTTTTGTGATATACACTGCCAAATGGATCAGTATAGAAGAAATATACTTTGATCAATCATTTTGGGATTCTAAAATGTCTGAACCGCTACAAACGTGAGTCCTTTTTTTTTTAATAATTTGTACACTGAGTAATTAGATAATCTTTCACACGAATACACGATTACTAGTGAATCATGATTTATCTATTTTACCTATAATATATTTATATTATATTTTATCTATTTTATTAACATATTATATTTTATACTTTAAGGTTTTATATGAAGTCTTTATTACCCGAAATTATTGATCCACAATTCCCTAAAAGAATGCTGAAATCAGATATTCGAGAACCAGACCACATAAAAAAAAAAATGATTATAAAAAAAAATTAATAAAACATTTGAATATAATTTAGACAAGTTGAATGGTTTTTTATTTTTTACTTTCTTAGATTGCAACTCAGTAAGTGTAAATCAAATTCAAGTAGTTTATTTATGGCTGATTAAAATGTAAGAAGAGTTATACCGGGTGACGTATAAGACTCGATTTTCAATATTTCATTCTCAAAATCGATAAAATCGTTTTGCGTTTTCAGTTATTTTCACTTTTTTACTTATGAATAATTGGTATAAAAAAATTTAAATATCAAAAATCGAGTCTTGTACGTCACCCGATATAACTCCTCTACAACTTTTAATTAAGGTATTTTGCTCTAAAACCATTTAGGTACTTAGCCGTATTATTGGAACAAAATTGGAATGTTTTTGTACGGTATTTTCGTTGGTTTAGCGTCCTCAATGTTATATTATTGTCATTGAATAATAAAAATAATAATATTTATTATAATCAATGGTATTATGGTAATACATTCGAAAATATTAGAAAGTATAAAAATTAAATACATAATTGGTATGTCTATATTGATATTTTTACAAACTAAATGTAAATCGTAAGTTATTGTACGTAAAATATTGTTAACTCGAATACTTAAAATGTTTGTACAACAATTTGTACGGTAAAAACTTGATTTTCTAGCCAACATAATATTATTATATACAAATAGGTATACAATTGGGCTGACAGCGGCTTTAATTAAAAGATGGTTAGTGTGGGTATAAGAGCGAATATGGTGGCAATGCATTTACGTGTATGAATTTTATTTCCACGGAATATGTCACGGACGAACGTTCATAAGATAATAAACAACGCTCCCGAACTCGACAACTCGTCGGTCGGTACGCGGCTGTGAGTAGTGAGCGTGGCTTAAACGTCGCGTGCTTGCGGATCACTAAAACACCTAACAGCGCATTCTCTTGGTCATTGCATGGTTTCGTTTGCCCGTGTGGCGTCCTCTTAAGCATTTAAAGTTCAAAAAATGACAAAATATGGAAAAATCACGAAAATTTCAAATTATTTCGAGTTTGAAATTCATAAAATTTTTTGTTTTTAAATCTAAGATATGAAAATGTAATAAAAGATTACTCATAAGTTTGTCTACCTTTATCAATAAAAAAATCTCTACCGGACAGTCAAATTAAATTTTTATGAGCGTTTGAAATTCAAAGTTTTACAACATTGGATATTCACTCGATTTCTCATGTAGCGATTTCCTTATTTTGTTGTAATTCAAAAACGAATAACTGTAGATACATGAAAATTTCACTGAATGTTCAGATTAGCATTTCCTATACACTGTACAATTTTGAAAATATTTCGACTTTTTTTGAGTTGTTTACGGACATTTTAAGTTTCAATTTTTTAGTTTTTTTTTCTATAATATCAATAAAGTTTTATCTGTTGGGCCAAAAAGTGTAAAAATTTAATACAAGGCTCCTGATATATTGTTACAATAGAAATTGAAAAATATTAAAAATACATAGGCACAATTTTTTTTTATAAGCATTTAAACATCGAATTTTGACAAAATTTATCAAAATCTCGAAAATTATCAATCATTGTAATTAATAAATTATAAAATGTTCAGTTTTATAGCTAAGGATTGCAAATTTAAAACAAAGGTTCTCATAAATAGTTCATACTGTAACCAAAAAACTGTACAGCAGAGCGACACCCACTTGCCCACCTTTTTTCTTATATTATTATTAATTATTCCGATATCGTAATAATTAGTTTTTGTATCATACCCAAATAGATAATTCAAGTAATACGGCTTATTGAATTCGGTATTACTGCAAAACTACCTATTATAAAAATTGTAGAGACGAATTATATTATGTTATATATCGATATTTTTATTAATTAGTTGAATAATTAATGGATAAAAAGTTAAAAACCGTGTTAGTTTACCATGTGATATTGGACGATTAGAATACGATATCAAAAAACGGATTTCTTACGATTGTTAAAAAAATTGTCCTCTACAATTTTTATAATAGGTAGTTTTGTTGTAAGTAGCTTCAATACGCCGTATTACTTGAAGAACAAAAGTAAAGTTTTTATTAGTATAAAATTCGGATACTAATAGAAAATATAAAACCGAACCAAATTCAATAATATTTGTCACAAATATAATAATCATTTTCTTATCTGGTTATTTATAAACTATGTACAGGCGCACGGCTGCGATAGCAAACCTGTTTTGACCATGGTGCGGCACTGCCGTTACGCGCGCGGGGTGATGGTAAGAACACCTAGTATCGAGCGCTGCCGCTGGCTGTAACGGGCGCAGCACATGACGAGCGTAATTAAACTTTTTTTTTTACCGAAAACATGGTTTCGTACTTCCAGGAATACGGCTTATTGAAGCGTTTTACAGTATAAATACCTATTACAAAAATTGTAGAGGAGAATTTTTTCTAGAAACGTAAGAAGCCCGATTTTTGATATCTTGTTCCAATCGTCCAATATCACATGGTAAATAAACACGTTTTTTTAAACTTTTTATCAATTAATTATTTAACTAGTTAATAAAAATATCGAAAATCGGACTTCTTACGTTTCTAGAAAAAATTCTCCTCTACAATTTTCGTAATAGGTATTTATACCGTAAAACGCTTCAATAAGCCGTATTCCTGGAAGTACGAAACCATGTTTTTATGTCATATTCTGTCTACTGTGACATCCTCTTAATGCAAACATGTTATCTGTTAATTGGTCAACCGATAATAAAATATTCATTAACGAGCGCTTAACCAAGGACAAACGAATTCTATTTGCGAATACAAGATCGACGGCTAAAGAAAAAAATTATAAGTTTGTATGGATAACAAACTCAGACATTCTCATCAGAAAAGACAAAAACACAAAAATCATTCGAATAAAGTCAGGTAAAGATCTTCTGTCATTATAATTTTTATAATCATTAAATACTCAATACACATATCTTAAATGTATACTACATACATATTTATATATACTTTATATTTTCATACAATGCTTATTTTATACATATTTTTATTTCGTTACATTTTACCTAAAACATTAGTTGTTAGATCTTCATTAGAAACTTATCGATATTATACCTATTTTGTTTACTTTAATAATAGACTACATTATATTCACAAAAAAAAGAAATAATAGGGATGAATAATAAATTAAACTATCTTAATGACATCAATTAACACACTTTTCGACATCATTGATAAAGAAAATACAACAGTTAATTCACTTAATGAGATTAACACATCACTATATAACAATGAAACCAGTTTTAACATACTATTTACTAATATTAGAAGTATTATTAATCACATATCTGAACTAGATTGTCTAAATGCAGCAATTAAGAATAAAAGCCATATCATAATTACAGTACAATCATGGTTAGGAAATAATATCGATAAAAAATATATCTCGTTAAATAATTATCAATCTTCAATTACTAAAAATCATAACCGAAAATCAGACGGCATAGTTATATTTAATCAAAAAGACATAAATTACACCACGACGGAATTTATAATACAAGATGCAAACTGTCTGTTTACAACAATAACATTTGATAAAATCAATTATGGAATAATATCAGTGTATAGATCTCCTAGTGGTAATATTATAAAATTTATCGAGGATCTCGAGGTAATAATTTCTAATATATTCAACTTCCATAGACAACTTACATTAATACTAATAGGTGATATGAACATAAATTTATCTGACACCACAAACTCTACAACACTATACTACGATTTATTAAATTGTAATCAAATGTATGTCAAATTGTAAATCAACTATTGTGATTAACTTAACTATGATTGTTAAAGATTCTTAACCCTTAAAGGTTAACAATCTTTTTTTTGGTTGGGAGGTGTAATGGGATTACACAATTCATGTTAACGCTCATAATAACAAGAACCACTTATGTGAAAGGCGGCCATGTCGACCGCACCCAAAAGTGGTCATAGCTAGAATAGACGCTCCAAAAAACCACTACAACTTACCAAGGGCGCCTGCATGCCTGCATGCCGCTCAATTCAAAGGACGCCGCCTCCGTAATATAGAGGTCTGGGCCCCAATACACATTAAAAGATAATTAACAATTCCTAAACCTGTAATAATTTTCTTTGGTAAACATGAAACTTATGATGATAAACAATCTGCACCGTTAATATTTATATCAAGTAATTTTTCCATTCCTCTAATACAAATATTAAGAATATCAAGTTTTTCATCATGGTAAATATTATTTCCTATACTTTCTTTAATTGATATATACTGTATACGTTTAATTATTTTTTCTTTTGATATTTTCACTTCTTTTGGTAAACAAGTTACATATTTTAGTAAATATTCAACACCTTCAGGAGTATCAATACGGTTTTCCATAATTGCTTTAAACAAATGAATAAAACCAAGTTTTTCGTTTTTAAAATTATTATTTCCAGCTCTTTCTTCTGCAGAAATAAACTGTAAATTATCTATCACTTGGTTTACATTACTAATATAACGATATTCAATACGATCTTCTGTGTATTTTTTTAAACCCTCCCCTATTTGATTATCTTCATCTAATATTTCATTATTTTCTTTCTTTTTATTAATTTTTTTCCTATCAGTAGTTTCTTTCTTTTCATTAATTGCTTTTATTCCTTTCCAAATCTTACTAATCATTGCTCTATATTTTGCACCACCACTTGATTTAGCTTTTCCCGTTGAAATATCATTGTTATGATATATAGAATCAGTTTCAATTAATATATTTTTATAATTATTAAAACCATCATCTGTATAAAATTCTGGTTTGGTAGGATCTACATAAGTTAATAATCTCCACAAACCTTGAGTTCCTTTATATCTATTTCCATTTAAAATTATATCATCATTATAAAAATTGATTTTATCTTTTCCAATCATATGAATATCATCTTTATCATAATAATATATTCCAAAAAAATTAGTCTCTTTTACAGATGGTAAATATTTTGTTGCATTC